AAATCACACCTCTGGGTTCCCGGGCCTGCCCGCTGCAACAGGTTAGGCACTGGGGCCTCAGAGACGGGAACGGAGCTGCAAAGGAAGCGGCAGTGCAGGTGCGAACACCTGAGGAAGAGCCTGGCCTCAGCAGGCGCAGGCGCAGGGGAGGAGCCGCCGCCCGCCCCAGACACAGCTCTGTGCCCGCAAGTGGCATTTGGACACTTCGGTCCCAGGGCAGCCGGGTTCCTACACAGTCTCCAGGCTTCTCTCCTATAGCAGCAGCAGCACCGGCTTCCCCAAAGCAGAGGAAATGAAACCTATGACGTCAAGAGATAAAGATCTCTTCACCGAGGAAGAAACACACACACAGAGCAGGCTGCTCGTTCACATGGGGTACTTCTGCACAATGAAACGTCAACACTGAACCCTCATGCGGGGACGGCGCAGTGAGGAGGCTTTGTTCCTGGGGGTCAGAGAGAACGAGAGGCCCGGGAGGAGCTGCTGCTAGAACTGGGCACTGTCGGAGCAGGGGGCCGCCTCGGGCGCACAGCCCATGCCCCAGAGGGGGCTCACCCTCCCCACCCTCCAAGTCAGGGCCCTAACCCACCCCCACGCCCTGGGCCACCTCAGACTCGCTAGAGCTGTGACGTGAAGGGCCTGGCAGCATGACTTTGACTTCCTCAAAAGGCTTCTGTGGACCTGTGGGATTTAGGTTTTTCCCTTTCATTCGTGCAAACAAAAGCACTGAGACTGGGTCCCACAAAAAAAGTCCCAGGGGACAGAGAAGCAGCAGGGGGCGGGGACAGGGTGGGGGGCCCCAGGCCAGGTCCCTCAAAGGCCTGCTGTGCATTCCTCACACATATTCGGCCTGGGAACCCACGCCCACCTGCCTCGCTGCAGCACCGAAGCAAGCAGGGTCGTCATTCCATGAAAGAGGAAGACGGGGCTGCCATCTGGACTCGCTGAGAGAGAACAGGGAGCTCCAGGGGCCCGGGGCCCGGGGGCAGCAAGGGCTCCCCAGCCCTCACCCCTCCCAAGGCTACTCCCACACTATCAGCATCTCTGCTCCGAGGAAACTGCCTGGGAAACATTACCTGACTTGTCCCCGGGGGTACAGTCTGCACTGGCAGCTGAAACAAAATTAAAATAAAACCAGGGGCAGAAGCAGAGAGAACCGGTGCTGCTCATTCCAGAGGCCGGGGCATGTCGTGGGGGATCCTCCCGGGAGTGGGTGTCCCGGGGTGTCATAACCCAAAGGCGCCAGCGAGAAGCTGGCAGTCCAGGAGGGCCTCCAGACGGCCATGGATTTGGGGCTACAGACAGCCCCGAGGGGCAGAGAAGGCGTGAGCCCCCAGCACGAGCAGGTCTGAGCCCCCAGCACCAGCAGGTCGCATCTGAACCAGGTGGGGTCAGCTGCTTTCAATTCCTTTCCGGAGCATCCAGGGAGAAGCACCCCGGGGGGAGGCTGCGTGCAGCTGTCTGGACCGAAGCTCAGTGGCGGTGCTCCCAGATCCGTCCTCTGTGCCCGCCCCGCAGAGACCCTGCCTGGGGGCACCCCGCTTCTCACCCCCAAAGCCCTTCCAGCTCAGCTCATGGTCTCACACTCGGGTGTTGTCAGCGAGGAGGAAGCACTGAAATGCCTGTCGCTTGGGTCACGTGTGTGAGGATGGACATGAGGGTGGCCAGCAACGGGGCCTTCGGAGGGCCCAGGCCCCTGACCGCTGTTCCCTTCCGTCGCGGGAAGGTGACGAAGTAGCCTGCGGAGGCCACTGAGCAGGCCAGGCCAGAGACCGCAGGAAACTCACTGGCTCAAGGGAGCCGAGGGAAGGAGGCTTGTGAGTGATAAAGCCAGGGCTTCCCAATTGGCAGTCCGATGGTAAAAAAGCAAAGGAGCAACAAGAAAAAAGGGTGACCTGGCGAAAAGTTGACAGGGGTGGGAAAAAGTGCCTCTCACCTAGGAGTTTGGGGGAGCATGCACCAAGCCCTTGCAAGTGGAAGTAACCGTGTCAGAGCTGCACAGAGACTTGCCATTCTGGGGGATGGTCAGTTCACTGGGACTCTGGCAGAGAAAGTGCTGGAGTGAAGGGTAGACTTCCAGGCCATGTGACCTTGAGCAAGGTCATTTAACTCCTGTGGCCCATCAGCCCACCCGTCCGCTGGTCCCTGGGGACCTCGGACAGCCCGATCACGTGACGAGCGGTTTCTACAAATCACTCACGCTTTCATGTTCGGAAGGAAAGGGCTCCTCAGTAGGAAAAGGCTTGAGCATGGACATGTTGGCTAGAGTGACACGTTCTGGCCTCACTCACGCGTGGGGAGTTTCTCCTTCTCTGAAAGGGCCACATTTTTTCATAAAATTCGCATGGAAGTCTAGTGCTGTAGGGATAGGGACCTCCTCTGGGCGGGCGGATGGAAGGATGGACCCTTGGGAGCTCCAGCGTCCACTCCTGCTTCCACATTCTGCATCCCAACGATATCCACTGGACCCCTGGTCCATCCCTCAAGTAGGCATTTCCCACAGCAGTGCTATTCCTGAACCTACCAGCCCTGAATTCTCTAAAAAGATAATCAAAATGCTCAGAACCTTGGTGCCCCGGGGCACGGGCACCCACTGCCCCTCGCGCCCCCTAGCAGGCAAGGGCACTTCTTAAGCACCGACATAAGGGGAAATGTACCCTCACTCCTGCTCCTTCCTAACATCCGGAGACGACACCAAGCTGTACCTGAGTCCTCATCTACTAAACGGACGTGAGGAGATTCCTGCCCAGTCAGTTAGAGGATGAAGTTAAATTAAGTTCAAGGATATGTGTGCAGTAGAATGTCAGAGAGGTCACCGACTCATACCCCTCGCACCAAGGAGTGGCTGCACAGACAGGCACACTGGGTAACTTTGAGGGGGGGTGGGAGAGTTGCGTGGGGGGCGGGGTGTATGTTTATCCTCCAAATGAGAGTATGTGAAGCTCATGCCTCAATGTTATAACTCAGAAAAAGCTTAGTCAATATAGCAGCCAGGACTGCAAAGGATGAGAAACAAACGGCCAGGGGATGACACCATTGAAGGTCGCCAAGGGTATTAAGGGCAAAACCAGGAACAGAGGCCCAGGCTGCAGACAGAAGCATCTGCGCTGAAGAAGGAAGAAAAAAGGTAAATATCACCCCACGCTCTAGGCCTCGGAATTGCGCCTTCTCCATTTTCATAAAAGTCACCCGCAATCAGGATACCCGGTGCCACCCATGTGGAAAACCCCCTTCACTGGTGAGCACAAGGGCCTGCAAGCTCCTCCGGGGTCGAGGACCCCCGTGGGTAACTGCGCTCCGTGTATTCAGCCGGGTTAGAAGCGCGAATGAGATCGTTGCGCAAGTCACTACAGGTCCTTTCTCTTGGCAAACTCCCATCACTGCCCAGACGTTTACTCCCCAATTAGTTCAATCACACTGATGAAAAACCAAAGCAGCCTGCACAGGATCGCCCTTGTTCCGATGCCATCCGTGGAACGGCCTCCCTGGTGGCCTCGGGGCTAAGTCTCAGCACTTTCACCACTATGGCCTGAGTTCGATCCCCGGCCAGGGAGTGACCACCTGGGCCTCGGCTGACCTCTCCTGTCCCGCCCGCTGCTCTCTTCAGTGATGCATTACAGTAAATCCACCTGTCCTGCTCCCCACTCTCTCTCTGGAGAGTGACCCTCTCACTCCGCACACCTCTGGCCTACACCCAGGTCTTCTCTGCAAAGATACATACATAAATAATAATGATTAAAAAACTTTAAAAAAAAAAAAAAACTGTCACCAGTCACTGGGGTTGAGGAGGAGCTCACAGAAGGCCTTGCCAGCAAGATCCGGGCCAGACACTGCACCGGCAGCAGGCACAACACGCCCTGGCCCAGTGCTCACGTGGAGGCGGGGCACGCCCTCGCCCAGTGCTCACAGGGTCCGAGGCACTCTGAGAGCTGCACTCCAGTGGGGCAGGAGGGAGGATGCCAGGCAGCTCGAGAAACCCGTGACAACGTGTTTGTAGAAACACTAGAACAATTCTTGGTACACAGTCAGCGATGAATACAAAGCAGTCGCCTCCACGCCTCTAAAAAGCACATTCTTAAAAAGCAAAAATTGCCTTGGAAGAGTTTTCACACATGAAGTAGCTGGAGAAGACAGGACGCTCCCGGAGGTCACTCGGCAGAATAAACGATTGAATGGAAGAACAATGAAGGGGACCCACATGCCCAGATTCTATCCAGCGGCGTCCTAAAGTAACCGAGGCCTGTGTGTGGCGAGGGTCTGCAGGGCGGTTCCTCACCTGGGATGCGGGCCCTTCCCCAGGGCCCTGAAGCACACACCTTGCGAGTGCGTGCTCCCAGCCACCGCCCCCACAGGCTGAGTCTCCACATCCCAGCTCCACATCCCAGTTAGAAGTGGCATCCCAGCCCCCAGGTCCCAGGAGACCCAGAGCATAACTTCACTGGGGGCCTGGAACCGCCCTTTGCAGGTAAACTGACGAGCAGAGGCACCCTGAAACCCACAGCACTAAGCACTGTGAGCACAACGCATACTGCACACTGAGGAGACGCCTATGACGTGTGAATGTGGCACCTGTATTTCGGCGTATAGCTCGAGATAAAACCTCTCATTTTGCAGGAGAGCCATATCGATGTGAATGAGCTACAGGTGACTCACGCCAGGCACACAGAGTTCTGAAGTTCAGGCTTCCAGAATCCGGCCTTAAGCACACTGAAAATATCTGCATCCACCTCCAGAACCCACGATGCCAAAGCAAAGCTCGTCACCAGATCGCACGCCCCTAGAACCTGCCCTTCAGCATCGGACGGCAGCTTCACAGTCCCGGGGATGGACTTCCAAAGGGCACTGAGACCGGGCCAGCAATGCTCACCCCCCTCTGCGCTTCCTTCTTCTCACCGGGACCAGAGGCTGCAAACAATGTCCACCCCCACCTCCCGGCCGGCAGCTCTGAGCGGCCCACCGCAGGACGCACGGGACACGGCCTGGTGGGGGACGAGACTCACCTTTCCTCATCCTTGAAGATGAATTTCCGCAGCTTGAGGTCACGCAGCACCAGCCCCCCGTCATGGCAGTGGGCCACAGCCGAGGCGATCTGGTAGAACAGTCTGGCCGCCTCCTCCTCCCTCAGCTTCTTGCAGGTGCGCACGAAGGAGTGCATGTCCCCATAGCTGCGCTCGAAGAACACGTAGGCTTTGGTCTCCCCCAGGATGATCTCAGTGATCTGGTTGATGTTGCTGTGTGCAGAGAGGGAAAAGCACGGAGCCAGGGACTCCTGGTAGCAGCCGATGTCAAACACCTAGGGCAGGGTAAGAGGCCGGGCGTCAGAGGGCCCCCCAGCCGAATCCGGGACACACAGGTGCCACAGGTAGAGGATGTGCTGAGCCCAGACCCCACTGACCCGGCCTCCCAGAGCCCGGGGGCTTGAGCAAGCACTTGACCCCTCCAGGGTGCCACAGCCCCGTGTGTAAAACGGGCCACTGATACTTGACTCTCGGTCCAGTAGAAGGTAACACTGCGGTGCGCCTGGAACCCGCTACTCTCGGGTAAGTTGGTATTTTTCTCTCTCTCTCTGTGCGCATCACCGGTTTAGAGAGTAAGGAAAAGCCTCGAGAAGTGGCCGCCCAGGTCAAGCGACAGAGCATGCCCACTCACTTCCAAACGCCCACAAAAATGGGCATCAACCGCCCAGGACAGCAGGTCTATGTGTTTTGTGCTATTCGCTGTGATGTAGCCCAGTGAACAGCAGATGGGCGACTCGCGGACATTAAACATCCAACTTGCCCAAAGGTGACCTAACCAGCACCGTTGTCTTGCTGATGTGGGAGTGGAGGCTCAGAGAGCAGGTCACAGCCAGCCCTGGCTGCTGCGCTGACAATAGAACACGCTTCCCTCTGACAGGAAGGCAGCAGACTTGCCTCGCTCTACTCCCTGTGCACTGCTGGAGCTCAATGAATCTGTTATGTAACGGTTTTCTATGAATCAAAATTAGCCTGTGAAATGCCACCTCATTGTGGAGGCTATTTAAAAAGAATCCGCCCTCAACACCTTTTTGAAAGAGACCTAATAGGAATTAACCTGGCAGAGAATTTTTGAGGTAATAAGGAAAACTTTCATTCATTTCCAGACCTGCACTAAATCAAGCACCCCCAGCCTTTAGCTCTGTGCCTGGGAGTGGGGGGCAATGCTCTGCTGGGCTGCAGGAGGCGGGGAGCTTTGCTGGAGGCATCCACCATCAGGAAAGCTCTAACCACAGCTCAGTGTGATCAGTCACCACCCTGTAGTTCCTTAAATCTCTTTTAGAGCAGTTAGAACGCACTCTCTCTGGGGAGCTTTTTGTGGGGGGCGGGGAATGGCTGGTCTGGAAATCTCCAAACCTGAATTCTGATCCCTGCTCACCCAGCAAGAATGTGCATGAGGCAGACTGGGGTCTTGGGGGTTGGAGGGGGAGAGGAAGGGCCCAGCGCACCCCCCTCCTCTTCACAAACTGAAGACCTTGATTGAGGACATGAGTAACCTTTGGAGGGTTCCGCCTTCCACAGCAGAATCTGCTGAAAGCTGCCCTCTCTTAGCTGACAGGGGCCCTTTGTGAATCCAGCACTGGGTCTGTTTGCGTGGGCAAGTCGGCTTTCTAAAAGCCACCCAGCAGCCACCGGCTGCCCTTTAGGAATCCATGAGTTAAATCACGCTTAGTTAGCTGGGTGGGGCGGGGGGGAGAAATCTGTGCGTCAACCCGAGGTTGTGAGAAGCTCAGGCACTGATGCTCAGAGCCGGAGAGGAAGCAAGGTACGGTTGTGAATGAACCATGAGGCAGGAAAGCCACACAGCTGCTCCACTGTAACCCAGAATTTAAGAATGAGCACGTCGCCATCTCCAGAGACCACAAAGCACACTCTGATACTGTCAAATGATGACCTGCGAGCGGCGACCTCAGAGGTCTGTTCAATTAGGAATGCGAAATGCTTGAGTCAACTTTAACACCCAGACAGCAGGCGGCAGAAGCCCAGGAAAACCTCAAAAAATGCACAGAGAGAAATGAACGCAGTGCGAGGCTAATGTAAACACGCTGTTATGCAATGAGTTTGGCCGGCTCTGAGGCAGCAGGCTGCGGGCCTGTCACTGGGGCCCAGGGAGTTTGGGTTATCGATGAGGTACTTCCTGCTCCAAGTGGCATTAAAAAATAGAAGACATCAAAGGTGATTTTTGCTGAGCGGCTTTATTTAGTCTGTGGTCCTGTCCCACGGCTGAAAAGCTACGGACACAGAGTCAAAAGCCAAAAAGCAAAAGACAACCAACGTTGATGGCAGCTTCAAAATGTAGCCACCCCCTTTGCAGAAGAAACCAAATTCCAAGATGGTGGACACAGGATGAAAAATAGAGCAAGTAAAGGTGCTTTCCGAAATGGGCAGGAACCAAAGTTTTATTAGTAGCTGTAACAGGCATTTATGGGCTTGGATCGGGATTTAAAACCATCACTTCAAGTGCAAAATCAAGCCATCAGCCTGGGTGCCAGCTTCTTTTTAAATGTTTAATTTGGGGCCTTAGTTATATAACGTGACGGTTCAGATAAGACCTAAGATTAGACCATCATTAATAGCATTTGCAAAAAAAAAAAAAAATGCCCGGTCTTCCAAGATAGTAATTATGTCACTCTCAGTGGTAGCTACCAGAATTTCCATGAAAGCAGTAAACTAAAGCCCCCCTAAACCTCACTTGCCTAACTAGAAGTAGGCACCTGGAGACAATACACAGGCTTGATGGTGCGAGTCAAATGACCCCTCAAATCTCTCTCCCCAACTAATGTCTTATAGAACACCCCTATAATCCAGTAGCATCTTTGCATGTATCTGTTTTTGCAAAGTGTTTTTATTTATTTATTTATTTTGGATCAACACAGAGCCAGAAGCCATGGACTCTACATTCAAAAACATCAAAAGGAATTTGATTTAAAGTGTAGATTTCATGGAGCCTTGCAGTCAGCTAAGAGTCCCCAGAACAGAGCTGAGGGTAGATGCTTGAGGCAGTCCCCAGAAACCACTTGGAGCTCCCCAGGATAGACACAACCGTGCCCCGCATCAGAAGTCACCCACATCACCTCTGGTAAAAAGGCAGGAAAACAGAAGCTGCCGTGTCTGAACGGGATGACCTCTGTCAAGCAGAGCAATGATACTGCATTTAAATCCCCCTCGCAGCCACACAGTAATTGGTGAGGGCTGATCCAATCTGTGGAGAACTAAACCAGCAGATTAAGCACAGTTTCAGGCCAGAGAGCAAGTCTACCAATGACACTGGGAAGGTCAGCTGAGAGTGCAGTCTGCCTTGAAGAATCTGAAGGGAGAGAGAAAGAACCGGAGCCAGCTCACCTCTGCTTGGAAACAAAGACATAACAGTAAGATGTTCCTGCAGATTCTGGCAGCAGAGTTTCTGGACGTCAGCCTTTGAAAAATATTAAAATACTGGCTCCAACTTGAGCAAAAGGAGGGAAAACACTCCCTGCTCACGATGGTGCATACTTCCTAGGAGAGTGGCAGCTCCCGGGAGGGAATTCATTCATTTCAAAAGATGACTCCCCTATTGTATAACACACAGACCTTGTGAGAATGCAGTCTGGCTCTGAACAGCCTGGTGAATTTTGGTTAACCAGGCACACTTTGTCTGGGTCCCAGTAACTTGGAGAAGATGCAGAACCAAAAGCTCTGAACATGCAGAGTGATATTTAAAGAGTCTGACTTTCCCCTGAGGTCTGAACTGAACAATTGCAAAACCTACTGGAGACATCCACAAAACCCATTTTTTACAATGAAATACTCAGTGCCCTGTGAAAAGATCAAGTCCACACAGCAGTCTGTGGTTAGCGGTGAGAGTTCCAAGCTCGCTGTGCAGCCGGGCTGTGCAGAGAGCCTGTTTCAAGGGCAGCAGGGGTCTCTGCCCCCCACCCCGGCGCCCCACCCCCGGGAAAACAACAGTGAGCAAATCTAAAATTAAGTGACAATGAATTCTTGATCTGTGTCCAATTCCTGGGGGCAGTGTGCTCTACGGTCTTTTTTCTTTCCTTGCAACTATTCCCCAGTTCATCCCCTTGTCTGGGGCGCCCTGGGTTCACACAAAGACACACACTCGCGCACACAGACACCGGGCACTGAGCAGGGCACAGACAAGACGGAGACTGAAGTGTGGAGCTCTGCAAGGGCGCACAAATTCCTGGGGCTCTAAAGGCTGGCCTCCAAAAGGGTCGGGGCGAAGGTGTGTGTAGGGCCGGAAGGGGGGGCGGGGCGGGTGGCAGGCAGCCAGGGGACGTCTGCGAGAAGAAGCGGAGAAGAGAAAGCCCCAAAGGAGTCTCTGTTTCCTACACCCAAAGGTGCTCTCGCGGCTTTGATCCCCCCCCCCGCCCCGCTCCCACCCCCCAATCCCCGCCCCAGCCCTCCTTTTCAAGGCTCCGGGCGGAAGAAAGAAGCGCTTTGTAAACTGCCAGCCGCGCGGCCCTCCGGGCGCTGCCGAGGGGACACCTTTGTGCGGCTCTTTAAAGGGCACCTCCGAACAAAGGTTCACCACCTGCACGCAGCCTAGAACAATGGCCGGGAGAGGAGCCCGGCCGCCCGGGCCACGCAATTAGCGGGGATTCCCTAGCCGACGTGGGAACGCGCGGGCGGGC